ACCTGTATTCTAACTGATGACGTCCAACAGGACATGGAAAGCCTCAGCACGGACAACCTCATGCGTCTCCAGGTAGAGCAGCTCGAGAAGGAGAAGAGGGAGCTCAACGAGCGCATGCGCGTCCTCTCCAAGCGTGTCGACCACATCGAGCGTGCTTATCGCAAGGAGGAGCGCCCGCTGCTTGCCAAGGACTACGAGCAGCAGCAGGCGAACGACCGCGCGGCATTCGAAGCGGCGCAGAAAGCCCGTTTGGAGGCTCACCGAGCCGCGCACCAGCAGGACGTCGAGACCAAGCACCGCTTGTCGCGCATGGTCGACGATTACAACAAGCTCAAGCAGGCGATTACCTCCCGGAGAGGCGAGGAGTTTGCCAAGAAGAAGGAGTTGGCGCAGAAGAAGATGGAGGAGGAGAAGGCGAAGCGCCGTGCTGCCGTCCTTGCGGAACGCGAGGCAGAGCGCCAGCGTCTGGAGGAGGAGGAGCGGATCAGACGCGAGCAGGAGGAGGAAGAAGCGCGTCTCGAAGAAGGTCAGTGTTCCCTTGACTCGGACTACATGCGAGGTGTTAACGTGTCTACATGTATCAGAGCGCCTCGCCGAGGAGAGACGCAGGGAAGAGGAGGAAGCTGCAGAACAGGAACTCGCCGAGCAGAAGAAGCGCGAGGCCGAGGAGCGTGCCGCCGCGATGCGCAAGCGAAGGGAGGAGGAGCGCCAGCAGGCTATGGAGGCGGCGCGGCGCCAGCAGCAGCGCGAGGAAGAGGCCGAGCGCAGGAGGGCCGAGCGCAAAGCCCAGGCGGCCGCTGCCACGGCTGCCCCCGCAGCACGCCCCGCTCCCGCCGCGGCCGCAGCCGATGGTGGTGTATGGCGCCGCTCGACCCCGGTTGCGCCTCCTTCGCGCACGGGCACTGCCACCCCGCCCCGGTCAGAAAGCCCTGCTCCGAAGTACCGCCCTGGCGCTCTCGGGGGTGCTGGCGGCGGATGGCGTGCGCGTTTGGCTGCGAAGGAGGGTGGTGCCGCCTCTGGCGAGAGCACCCCCGTTCGGCCTGCGTCTCCTGCGACTCCCGCCTCGCCTGCGCCTGCACGGGAGGAGTTGCCCAAGGAGAAGGAGGAAGACGGCTTCAAGACCGTACCGAAGAAGTGGGGTGCGTCGCGACTGGGCGCGCGCAGGGCCGCGTGAGGCGTGCTCTGACGGTCGGTGTCGTCGGTTCGTGCGTGCAGTCGTCGTCCATGTATGTATTGCGTTAGTTTTGAGTTCGTTCGGTATCCCGGATGTAAGCGTCCACGTCCACATCCACGTCTACTTTCATGTCTGCGACGGCATTCACGAGTTTCTCCCTCTCTTTCCACGGACGCGATGTACTGATGGCTTGGCTTGCTGTATCGGTAGTGGTATAGCTAGACTCCATGTTACGTAGCTCCTAATCCGACTGTCCATCTCTATCTCCATATTGCCATCTTGTCTCGTCGCTCATGGTGTTGTCCTGGTACCTGTCCATTCACCGTTGAGCGTTGAGCGTCCCCCATTTTAGTGTTCCCACACGGTGAGTACGTTACTATGATCCTGCTACACTCTACGGCTTATGTGATCACTCGCTAGTACTCAGGGATTCATCGTAGTGCCCCACTTGGCTATGGTGCTGGATACGGTGCCTAATGGTGTTTTTTGTGGCAGGGCGAGGTATCAATGGGAATAACCGATGTCCAGATGAACGTTAACTCTGCGCATTCTGGTCGCACGATATGTCGCACTGCCTGCTATGACGCACCGTCCTCGGGCGACTTGCTTCGAGACGTACCTGCAATATGCATATGAACCGTATGTGTATGCGGATCCGAACGCAGGAAGACTGACGATATTGGTGGTGTCAGCGGTGATCCGAGGTACTCGTATGAGGATTTGGCGGTGCACGTAGGGCTTGTGGCTGTCGCATGGTATCCTCGGGACATGTCAGCTCGTGAGTTCACTTACAATCTATCCAATGTGTACTCAGAAATTTAGAACCCTGAGCTTGACACGATATCTGGGATGACCAGTCCCCCACGAGTGCAAACGACACTCACACGTCGGCGGTATCCGGTCCCTCCGCATGAGAAGCCAGATACACAAGGCGACGCCTAGTTTCTGATTGTCATTGACCCTTCCTCTGCAGGCGTTCCCTTCCACATACTTGACGACGAGTTCTATTGCGATGCCTTCCGCGGCGCACTGCTTGTATATAGGATGTCACCATGGAGTGGCCAATGTAGCTCCATTGGACTAGCATGGCCCCCACCCCACCACAACCGGCAACCTACCACTACTACCCGCGAGCTATGTCGCAGAACTTAGTAGTGACCTTGGTGCACTCCTCATCGGCACCTTCCTTAGTCTCACGTATGTCCTCGAACAGTCGATCTACCGTCTCCCGCTGATGAGTTTGGCTTTGCGACAGGCTATACGGCTTGTCCGTTCATCAGGCATACCTTTTCTTCAACCTCTACCAGGACGAGCGCAGACGAACGCTCAAGACGGTCGTGAGCAGTGCACGAAGCCGTCTGGAGTGCGGGCGTCCACGAACGCTGATCACGATGGGTTCGTTCTGGCAGATATCCATCATCCTGTGCGTAGTCTTAATTGAGTCAGGCGATACAACACTCGTTGCTCACAGCCGTCAAGCTTGCTAGAAACCGTACATAGCGCCCTGTGCATACATGCAACGTCGGTGTTCGGATTGCGGCATACAGAGAATGTGATTGCTAACCCGAGACCGCTTCGTATATAGATACGACTTTCTCATCATAGAGAAACCCTTCGCAAGGACATATCAAGGGAACCGTTGGTGAGGCTATAAGATTTGAATCGTTCGTTACATGAGTCGCTGACCTGTACCAAACAGGTCCTTGAACGTAAGGTCATACTTCTGACTCAACAAATCCCCGCACTGACGCTCAGCACCGAAGGTCCTCAGCACTTTCGCCGTAAGGACTCCACTATCGACCAAACTCGCCTCAGTATTCTACTTGCGGCCTTCCAGCTAACTATATCGGGTCGTAGGCCGTGATCTTCTGCTTGACGCAGAGGTATGCACCCGTTGCCTGGCCCATGCGAAGGCAGAGGCTAATCACCGTCCCCTCATGTGTAGTCTGTTTGCGCGACGGGTAACGCTACGTGCGTATGGCACTGGCTCCGTTCCGGGCGTAGGTTGACACATTTGTATACAGTGTGGTCCAAGTACGGTATAATGGTCGCCATTGGTGCTGTGAGACCACCTTCCCGCGTCAATACAGTCGCCTACTAACAAATTCCGATCGCCATAGGGAGTCCTCACAGCGGGGCAGTTGGGTATGTGTTTTACTTTGCATGTGTGTGAGAGGACGCTCGTACTGACGGACCGTTCCAGGTACAGCCATTGGTTCGTTTGCCATCCTTCGACCCTGGTAGTTTGGTGTAGCTGACGGTGACCCATACAGCGGCTACCGTACTATTGTTCGTATCATCCTGCCCAGATCCAGTTTTTACCATCACTGATAATCGAAACAGATACATTCCGCGCACAGATGACATTGTCCATCGAGTTCTGGTAAGCCCAATCCTACCGGAGCCGATGACACCTTCGTTTGACCGATGTCCTCATCATAGTGGCTCAGCTGCGCTCACTACTCTTTGGTGTTTCTTGCGAGCATGTTGATGGCGGCGGCACTCTTCTACTGCCTTAGACGCGCACATTCGGAGTTTGACGAGTACGTTGCACCATTGCGCTCTCAGAGATGATATCAAGCGGTGACGGCTCCGCATAGGACGAACCACATTTTACGAATCCTACTTAAATACACGGTCAACACAGGTGAGTGTGTCTTGTGTCCGTCTTCACCGCAGCGGACTTAATAATACTAGGGATACTGGTTGGGTGAGCGCAGCCGTAGTTCTCGGAAGCGCCTGCGGAACTCAGCGGAGCGCTGCAGCGTCTCGAGTTCGATTTCGCTGATCTTCGTGCGTAACCCGCACCATGAATCTCTTGAGTCGCTCTCATATCTCAGTATCCCCAGGTACTTATCTGGCCTGATACGCGGCGATGTGCGGCAGTGGATATGGTGGCTACGAACCGTGAGCAACCCTGCCTCAGCTCGCCTATTGAGATGAGCCATCATCGCTTATCAACCGTTGCTCCAGTATACTTTGTATCGCTGCTCGCTGAGTATGTTTCTCCCACCCTACGCCCCGCCTTCCGCTGCTGTCAGCCCTGACACGCTCTTCCCCAGACTCAACTCCCGCCAAGAGCTCACTGCAACGAGCCCGACGCGAACACTGCAGCTGCCCGGCAGCTTCCGCCCGATCTCGCCCAAGCTTCGGCGCGCGGAGATGCGCGCGAAACGGCGCGAGAGTCGCGGGCTACAGCACATGTCGGTAAGAGGCAGCGCCGCCCCGGATTGCCTGCGGCGTCCCCCGCGCACCTGTGTGCTGACCGCGGTCGTCGCCCCGCAGACTCCTTGGTCTTCTCAGTCTTCCGCGGCCATCAACATCCGGGTCACGACGGAGGTCATCAGAGACCACGATCTGAAAAACGTGCTGTAGTGCTGGTGAGGGCGGGCATACTGATGGGGTACGTGCGGGCAAAGATTAAGGGACGCTGTCAGGGTCTAATTTCCAACCTTGTAACGTATACGCGTGATGATTGTGCTGAGATAATAGAGCGCGCAGTTAGTTTGTAATGCAGGCGTAATGGACTGTATACCTCTGAACCAGTCTTCTTCTACATGAACATACAATGACCAGAGCGGACTGACATCCATTTTCGTTGGGTAAGTACTTCTGTCTGTTGATAACTTCTCGGGGCCCCGAGCAACCTCTATCAGCCTCTGAGGTTCGTGCATGTCGCGTGTCTGGCTACCGGTGGGGTGTAGGGGTAAGATAGCATTTCGTGAGAAGCCTCCCTTGCGCCAATAGAAGAGGTCGAAAAATCTCCTGAATCTTTCCGGAGAGCGTTTCTGGAGAGATTGGTCACTAGCCTTGGGGCGACCCCAACGAACCCGTGGCACAGTGGTAGCGCGTGAGATTCCAGTTGATGGCGCGTAGCCGTCAACAAGGTAGTTCCTCAAGGTCATCCGTTCAATCCGGGTCGGGTTCAGCGTTTTTGCTACTTGTTTTAGCTTTTGAAGGATAAGGTAAGAAGGCGTAGAAAGGTCCTCGGGGTTGGGAGGCACCGCGGAGGTGTCAAACAACTTTGGTTGATCTGCAACCCCTCGCGAGACAACCACGGATTCACAAAAACGGGGAAAGCCATGCGAACGAGTATCTGGGGTGTTTTGCGGAACCAGAACGGTTACTGGTGATCCGAGGGCGTGGCTTGGGCGGAAGGATAGTTCCTCCCGGAGTAAGCGCCCGATGCCAGGTGAGCTGCCTAAAGTACTGCCCAACTTGAAGCGTATCCAAGTTCTTCCATAAGTGCTTTACTTCATCTAGGCTATAAATACTTCGGAAGTGCGGTGACGGTGAATGGAGGGAGGTAGTAACTCCGAAGTGCTCGACTCTCGCAAGGCGGTGGTCGCCCAGGTCAGAGTGGCTGTTGATTGTACCTATTTGGGATTATGAGACCTAGCGCCCGACCGCGGCGGCGCTCACGGAACCTCTCTTGTTGCTGTACGCGACCTCGCCGATTAGCGCCAAGTTACTAATTCCATCTCAAGTCGAGTTCAAGGCTCGTATTCGCTCAATTAATCTGGTCAAGACTACGGTTCGAGTCCTCACAATTGTCCGAGACACTGATACGGTGGTGCTCACCTAAAGACAGTATCCCCACACACTGCAGAGTCGGACAATGGGGTCTCGTCCACGCACCATTGTGGCTAGCTGACGACAGCTACAGTATCTGAACCCTGACTCGCAATTTCCCAAAGCAGAGGAGAAAAGGTTCTCAGCTTCACCACCTATGATCGGACAAAGGGAAAGGTGGGTGATTCATCGCACAAGTCAAGCGACGTATCGAAACACACGTGTATGCGCAGCAGAATGGTAGTCATTAGCCAGAGATCTACCAATCTAAGTGGCTAAGCTTTCTGATGGGGCAAAACGGCTATTGTCAGGATCTGACTAAATGGGCAATGTATAATCTACTGCAGATTGTGCGAGGTGACAGGGAATAAGACTATGTCTCCGAGAGTGGCCAGTCAAGACATAAGACCCAATTTCCTCTTGCGCATGAAACAAACAAACAAAATTTTGGAAGAAACGAAAGTTCTGTGTTCGATTTCTCTTCGATTTAGATTTTCTTTCACAAGGAGATTGGCTGAACTGGCCACCATCAATAAGACAAGCCCCTGAGTCATCATGGTCCAAGCTTATGTTCGATGATTTTGGTTGCGAATCCTATTGTCTATTCAGCTTTGTGCCATTCAGCTCATTCATCCACAAATCCGATTGCAATGGAGTCCCCGATGCTCCAGATTCCCGGGCCCATCCAGCATATAACGCGGCGAGTGCGGCGGCTTTCCCTGCTCATCCTCCCTCCGCCCCCCACACTGCGAGCTCTGTAGATTTGCTTGATACTCCCCCACTAATCACTCATTATCTTTTATACTACACGATGCTCACACCCACCATCGCTGTCCCCTTTACTGCTGTCAAAGGCCGCCAGGCGAGTGGCGCGCAGACCACGGCCCCAAAGGTCAAGTCTAGTCTCGCGAGGAGGCTCGCCGACAAGGACAAGGCGTCATTGGCTGCTGCAAGATGCAACCGAATCATGAAGCAGAAGCACGAAGTGCGCAAAAAGCTAGCTCAGCAACGGACCCCTGCAGTAAGTCCTATGGTCCATATCAGCTGGCTAGCTGTTTTGACCACCCTCTAGCTGAAGCGGAGCCTGCAGTCCCCTTTTCCAGAGACAGAATCCGTCCACGACACGCAGGCGTTCATTCCTCTATACGAGGACGGCCTCAATTTGTGGCTATCAGGCGTCCTAAACACCAGTGTTGGCGAGTACAGGGATCGGGCCTCGTCTGCTACCGGGAGCGAGTCAAGCGACAGCGGGTATTCCGGGAGCGAGTCGAGCGACGACGGGTATACCGGGAACGAGTCCGAAGGCGACGACGACGTCTCGGAGCTGACTGACTGGTGAGTGCAGTCGTATGATCCAAGGGGGGGGGGGGGAGAGAATGATGGACGGTAGCTGAGACTCGTTCCAGGGATATGGAATACGACTCGCTCGACGAACTTCCGGGAGACTTGTTCGTGTCCCAGGAATCACTCTCCCCGGACGAACTTGCACTCTACGAGATAAAGGTCGTGCCGCGGTGCATCATTCCCCCAGAAGGGGACTATTTCTCACTTGCCGACGTTGTCGAGAAGGTGTGGTAAACCCGGTTCGACTTCCAGATGCTGCTCCTCTATTCTTATTCGTGACCCTTTTATTGTTATACCTCGTCTTCTGTATCGCTGGTACTTGTAGTAAGTACAACAACCATTGTATTCCTTTACCTCTCTCTACCACGGTCTTTGTAATGTTATATGACCCTTCACGCCATGCGGAAGTTCAAGGAATGACCTTGAGCGCATTGTCGAAGTCGGCGATGATGTCTGCGATGTTCTCAATGCCGACAGATACCTGCGTGAGATACGATAGTGAACGTCAGTGGCGTTGAGAGCTCAGGGAAACCTTGCAATGGGACGCACGCGGATGAGATCGGGCGTCACCCCCGACCCCAGCTGTTCCTCGGGCGAGAGCTGCTGGTGTGTGGTGCTCGCGGGGTGGATAACGAGAGTCTTTGCGTCGCCTGTTAATCAAGTGCGCACGAGGTTCAGCCTATACACTCCGAGAGACTTCATAAAAGGACCGAGAGAGGACATGGGGGACGCACCGACGTTGGCAAGGTTGCTCGCAAGCTTAAGCTTGTCGACGACCTCGCTGCCGACACCCGCGTCGCCCTTGACGCCGAACGTGAGCATCCCGCCGAACGCGTGCGGGCGAAGGAGCCTGAGCGCATCCCGGTGCGATTCGTGCGACTCGAGCCCGAGGTAAGACACCCACGCGACCTTCGGGTGCGTCTCGAGCCATCTGCCAAGCCCCACACGCCGTCCGACTTGGAGTCAGTGGAATGTAGAGTATGGCGAGGGAAAGTGGAAAAAACGCACCGGGCGAGCGCGAGCGCGTTGTCGGAGTGGCGTTGGGCGCGGAGGCTGAGCGTCTCGAGGCCCTGAAGGAGGAGGAACGCGGCGAAGGGGTCCATCGCGGGGCCCATGTCGCGCAGTACGTCGAGCCGAACCTTGACCGCGAGCACCGCGCGCCCGAACGTCTCCGCGAACCGCATCCCGTGGTACCCTTCCGCCGGCTCGGTGAAGTCCGGGAACTTGCCCGACGCTGCCCAGTCGAACTTTCCTGGGAACGGGGTGTCAGCACGAGGGGCGAAACAGTGAGTATGGGGCTTGATGGACAGAGAGAGGAGGCGCACCTCCGTCAATGACCACTCCGCCGAGTACAGTCCCGTGGCCGCCAATCCACTTTGTTGCGCTGTGGGTGACGATGTCGGCGCCGTGCTCGATGGGCCGAATAAGGTACCCTGATTACTACGTTAGAAATCCTCCACGCGAACTCAGCGGTATCGGTTTGTGCTCACCCCCGATGCCAAACGTGTTATCTACAATGAGCGGGATGCTATGGTCATGAGCGACCTATTTCGTGTGAGGATTAGCGCGAACAACCGGCAGCCATCGTTTGCACCGCTAACCTTCGCAATCCCGGGGAGCGGCGCGACGGTGTTCTTTGGGTTACCGATGCTCTCGACGTAGATGGCCTTTGTCTTGTCGTCGATGGCGGCGGCAAACGCGGCGGGATCTTGGCTCCCTACAAATTTGACGGAGATATCGAACTTTTTCAGGAAGACTATGGGGACACATCACTACCTGCGCGCAGATGGAGAGTCGAGGGGACGTACCTTTGAACTGATTGTAGGTCTGCCAAGCACAAAGGGTGTCATGAGTATGGACGACAAAGGAATTCCATAAAGATGCCTACCCCGCCATAGAGATACGCACTAGGAAACCATGGGCGCGAGTTGTTATCAAGTGCCTCGACTTAGGAGAAGTTCGGACACATACGACGAAATTATGTTGTCACCTGAGCGACAGATGGCTGCAATTGCCATGAACTGGGCAGCGTGCCCGCTGGAAGCGGCGACGGCGGCTACCCCACCTTCGAGGGCTGCCATGCGTCTCTCAAAGACGCTCTACCCAATTTGTTTTCAGTGGGCGAGTGCTGGTAGCTGGGAGATGGGTAGACGTACAACTGTCGGGTTACCCATGCGCGAGTATATGTTACCAAGGGACCTTCGCGGAGTGTCAGCATCGCGTCACAGCCTGGTGGACGTGTCTGACGGTACCTCAGTCCAAACAAGTCTGCGCCATGCTATCGGAAGACACATGAAGTTTCTGAAGACTGGTTGTTGCGAGGGAATGGCGACATGCCTTCGAATCGTTAAAGACGAAGCTGGTGCTCGCATAGATGGGCGGTGCACGAGCATTCGTCGCGGAATCGATCTCCTGCCCGGCATGGAGTTGGAGTGTCTCGAACTCGGGCTCCCTACGCATGGTCGCAAAGCGCCATCGTGAGAAACGGGCTTGAGTTCAGTGAAGGAGACTCACTTGTAGAAGTTGTTGGAGGTGGTAGGGGGAATCATCGCTACTCGTGAGGTGGAGAATCTGTTAGCTGGACAAGGCAAGGCGAGCCGGTCATGCTTTATATATCTAGTAATAAGACCTGTACGTGGCACAGAGGATGCCATGGCGTGATTGAGGCCTCCCTGTATGGAGAAACTCGGAGGTCGAGAGTGCTTCTTTGCGCCTAGCCACGCATAGAATATATGCAGGAAGCAGCCTCCATTGGTAGCGGTATGTTGCGAGATGTACAACGCCAGCACGAAGCGAAGGGCGGTACCACTGGTAGCCGCTGGTGCCGTTCCGATTTGTGCCGCACCTGGTAGGCGTGCAAATCAGCACTCAAGAGAAGCCGCTTCAGCAGGCACAACTGTATTACCTTGGAATACTTCCAAGGCGCGACCGTTCGGGGGGTGGTGAGAATTGTGCTGCATGATTTGCGAGACTTGCGCGCCGCGGTCTGCCCCGTACGAGGGTCACGTTCTC